CTAACAGTGGTTCTCTACCTGTGGGTCGCGACCCCTGAAAATACATCCTGCATATCAGATATTTACATTACGATTATTAACAGTAGCAAAATTACAGTTATGAAGTAGCAACGAAAAAAATTTTATGCTTGGGGGTCACCACAACATGAGGAACTGTATAAAAGGGTCGCGGCATTAGGAAGCTTGAGAACCACTGGGCTAGAACCTCTCTGTGGATGGTCCCTCTGGCCAGGCGTGTCCTGCGTGCCAGAGGGGACAGTCTTTGCCAAGTCTTGTTCTGCTTCTCGAAGCCCCTAGGCTACCACCCAGCCCGCTGCCCGGTCCCTGCACTACTGGTGCCCGGGGGCATCGGGGCCCTGCTTTTCTTGACTGGCCAACGGGGCCACACAGTTTTGACTGATGCACGCACATGCTTTTGTGGTGAAAACGCAAGAACACCATCCCGACAACACTCCTGAGAGGGCAGGGCCCCTCCCCTCGCCTCCTCACCTGGAACCACCGATGGGAAGGAGGGAGTCCTTCACCAGCTGAGAGGGGCAGCGGGCAGGGGGCGCCGAGGCTGTCGGGATTCAGGGGTGGCGTGAAGCCGCTGAAGCCCCCCTAGCCCAGCCGTCCCGCAGCTGCACGGGCCCTGAGAAGGGAGGGCGGAAGTGGGGGGTGGTGGCAGGACCTCACCTTGGTGCTGTCCTATGCTCCCAGGTCAACCTGGCCTATGCCTACGAGACCAAGGACGCGCTGTGCTTGGTCCTGACCATCATGAACGGGGGCGACCTGAAGTTCCACATCTACAACATGGGGAACCCCGGTTTCGAGGAGGAGCGGGCCCTGTTCTACGCGGCGGAGATCCTGTGCGGCCTGGAAGACCTGCACCTGGAGAACACCGTCTACAGGTGCGCGGGCCCTGCCTGGCCTCCTGCCTGCGTCTGAGTGGGTGGGGACGGGACCCGAGGCCCGATCACTGTCCTCGCAGGTGAGGGTGCAGACTCCCACTGAAACAGCGTAAGTGAGGTGGGCTGCTTAGGGGGCAAGTGCCCAGGGGAGCTCGGTGGAGCCTGTTGGCCGTGACCTAGACCAGCCCCAGGAAGACCTGGGGGGTGGCCACCACAAGCAGGCCTGCGTCCATCCACACCGCCCGACGTGGCCGGCCCAGGGTCCAGGCTCTGTGAGCAGCGCCCAGCGTGAGGCTCAGGGCCCACGTGATGGCTGGTGCTCACCTGGACCACCGCCTCCCACACGGCCCCTCACTCTGGGCAGGGCTTGTCTCACGGCCTCCACGAAGCATCTTCACAATCTGAAGATGGACTTCTGACATAGTCTGCCGTCTGTTTAAATGGTGGCTGATGTGGATATTTTGGTATGGAAGTTACTTCACATTTTTAAAGGCATCCAGTGGGATCTAATTGCTGTAGCAAGTTGATTTCCACCATCGTCTATCTAAACATGCATAAAGCCCTTTAATGGTGAGGAACTTCCTATCATTTTCTATTCCCCACCTCCCTCACAAAATGTTATTATGAAGTAATATATTTTTTGCCTAAGAGTCTTTTATTGAAATATGTGGCTACATGTAAGATTTTTTTTTAATTTCCTATGATCATAAGGCTCTACGTGTTCAAATAATTTCTTCTGTTGAGTTGCCGTTATAATTATTACAACTAGATCCCACTTCTGATGGGGCCCAGGGCTTTTTATACCTGGAGCAGTACCCCATAGTAATTCATTTTCAAGAGGGCCCAGAGCCTGCTTTTCTTCGGTCACTGACAGAAGAGCTGTTGAGGAAGGGCAGGTGGGAGGGACCCCAGAGGAATGAGGGCGCCCTGGTGTTAGGGATCCGGAAACGCACATTCCTGAAAGTGCCGACAGGTGAGTGGGCTCCCACCTGGGGTCTCCAGCGACCCTGCTCCCACACACCCGCTCGCAGACCAGGGCCATGGAGCTCTGGGTGGAGATTACCTCGGGAGACCAAGAAGGCTTTGAAAACCAGGAGGGAGGTCTTGGTGCATGCCTCCCGCCTCAACCATCTCCCCAGTTATGCTTTTGTTTGGTTTTCACTCAAGTGAGAAGGGAGTCTAAGAATTTTCCTAAGGGTCGGAAAAAGAGTCCTCCACCTGAGTGCCCTTCATTTACAAAGATTAGAAGGCAGCTCCGAGTCCAAGCCAGCCGCTCGCCTGGCCTCTCCTCCCGTGGGCTTGGGCCCTGCCCGCTGGCCAGCTGGCGTATGGAAGCCCTGGCTCTTGCCCTTATTTGGGATTGTTAACACATCAAAAGAATGCAAATTAAATAACAACAGCAACAAAATGTATTTTGTAGTGAATAACTCCATACAAATACCAATCAGCACTTTGGGGCCCACTGGACGGGGCAGTCACCACGCCCGCCTCGGGGACAGCTGCCGCCAGTTCCATAAACAAAGCCAGTTGGTGGAGAACCAACCCTCAGTCCAGAGCCGTGGACTGTTTGCCAGCGGCTTACCTGAGCGGCACACACCATCCTACTGGCTGTTGGTTTACCCTTGGGGAGACCTTTTACTAGGAAAACTAGACACCCCTGCTGCCTCTTCTCCCTCCTGGGAACTAACGGAGAGGTTCCCTCTCCTAAGAGCATGATGCTGTCATCAAAGGGAAGACAGACACTGGGGTCGGAGGAGGTGGCCACGGCTACAGCCGTGCCTTCCGGCGGTGCTTTCCTCCCACTGTAGCTCAGCTGGAGTTGGGGAGGTGCCAGGCTCCTGGGGGCCCCATTCCCAGGGGGTCTTTCTCAGGGGGCACCTTCCTCTTCCCTGCAGTTCTCTGTGCCAGTTCTGCAGCTGGTGCTTTGTTCTCAAGTGTCTCTGCCTTTATTCCTAGGCCCTGCTCTGCCTCCCGGGCATCCTGAGACCTGGGGGGGAGAGGGGGACCGTCTTCCCAGCCCTGGAGGGGTCTGTCACCACCCCCGCCAGCGGTGTTCTCAGGCCTGGCGGCTGGCAGCGTGTGGAGGGGCCGGGACCAGCCTTTGCCTAAGCTCCTTCCTATCGCTGTCCAGCGCGGAGAAGATGCCTGAGGCACAGGGTGGGAGGAGAGAGATCAGCCCGGAGACCTGACAACCCGATGTGGGAAGGGAACACTCGGGGCAGTCACCACGCCCGCCTGCCCACCGGGTCAACCCAGACGAGAGAGTGCCCTTGCTGCCCAGACGCCCACACTCACATGCCTGTGGTCTTTCCCTTCCAGGGACCTGAAACCCGAGAATATCCTGCTAGATGATTACGGTAAGTCAGGGAGTGGCCGGGAGGGGCCTTTTCCTGCTCTAGCTGAGGTGAGCATCGCAACCCAATGCAGAGGGCCTCTCGGAGACTCACCACCCTGGGCCCGCAGGAGCAGTGGGCAAGGGGGAGGGGAGGAGCCACTTCTCTCCTCAGCTCTGGGAACCCAGAGAAGACCGTGGGCATGGACAGAGCTCCTACGAGGAGAAGAAGCAACTTGGCTGGGGAGAAAGGGAGAGAGAGAGAGAGAGAGAGAGAGAGAGAGAGAGAGGTGGAGGGGGATGAGATGAGGTGTCCAGGATTTCAGAGACGTTGGGCACATACTGACCTCACACGATTTCTCTGCTCTTCATCTCCTTGTTTTTCAATGGAAACATGAGTCCTGCCCACGTAGAGGCTTGAAGATGGGGTGAGGTTCTGACAAGACAGCTTGAGGGGAAGCTGTTCAGTCAGCCACAGCCAGCGGGACATGTGCTCGTCATTAGTGTTCGTGCATCGCCATCGTTACCGTCTCACACGGATGACAGGCAGCCGCGGGAACCCCTCCCAACTGTTAGCCTCTCACACCAAAGGGTGGGAAACAGTTTCCTCATTTTCAGTCTGACTAGATTTGCCCATCTCCACAGAGAGGGCAGGGCCAGCAGCCCCTGTGCCCATTTTACAGATGACAAGATTAAGGCTCAGAGGAGCCAAGCTGCCAGGGTCATCCAGCAATATCAGTGGGGAGCCGGGATCAGAGGCCAGGTCTCCTCAGTGGGTTGATGGCCTGGTGATGCTGCCATGGGGAGCAGCAGGCAGAGGGTCCTGGGCCTCGCTGCCCCTCTCGGATGAGCCCAGTGTCCATTGGGGTTCCTATCCTTCTGGTCTCAGAGCCACACCCACCTCTGACCTGCATCCCCGTGATGTGAATCCACGTGCTCCCTCTACCTTTCCTGCCTTTGTCTGGGGCCAGAGCTGGGGGCCTCCCACAGCTCCGACCTGGCCGGGGTCCCTGTCACTGGGCCTTGCTCAGGTCCAGGCTGTGGGGGCCCCGGCACTCACCCACACGGAGAGGGGGAGTGGTCCTGCCTGCAGGGTCGTGTGTGGCTCTGACATCCCCCTTGTCCCTGGTGGGGGCCACCAGGGGAGACAACACAGAGGCTGACCTCAGCACCGCCGTCTCTGCTTTGGGGGTTCAGTCTGGGACCAGAGGCTCCAATCCATTTCCCAGTCTCCAGGGGCCTGGGCATCGTCCCATCTTGTTTTTCCAAAGGGAGAAAACAATCTCCAAAGACCATCGCGGCAGAACGGGAAGTTGCTCCCCAAATTGCTTTATAACTTTTCCCCTTAAGCAAATGGTTGCAAAATGTCAGGAGAAGCTCACGTTTTCCGTGAAGCAATCCCGGAATCAGGCCGAGGCACTGAAACCCGCTGACAGCCTTGCAAGGAGCCATTAGCGCGTTGCAGGAGGCAGGTTGCCCGCGTCCAGCCAAGTGCAGGCGGCCCCGCGTCTGTGTGTTTCCTCCTAAAGGGGAGTGACTTGCCATGTCCTCTGACACCTGAGCTCCCCAGGGCCTGCAAGTCGCCCTGAGACGGTAGATCGGGGTCCCCCTCTTCCTGCCCGGGGGCACGCCGCAAGTCTAAGGCCCTGCCCAGGGTGGTCCAGTGTCACATGACCATCCCAGGGTCCCACTGACCCTGCCCTTCCCCCTCAGGCCACATTAGGATCTCCGACCTGGGCCTGGCCGTGAAGATCCCCGAGGGAGACCTGATCCGAGGCCGGGTGGGCACCGTCGGCTACATGGGTGAGTGTCTCCCCCTATCCCCCACGTGGATCCCTGGCCTCATTGTGCCACTCTGATCAGAAGTAGGGTCTCTTCCAACGGTGGGAGGTGTGCGGTCTTAGACAGGCTGCGTGGAGCCCCAAGTGTGACTGGACTAAACCCAGTTCTCTGCAACCCCCACCTCCAGCCCACCTGCGCCTAAAGCCAGTCCACTTCGGGGTCAGTGGCCAGGCTGGTGCTCAGGAGGAGGCCCCGTTGAAGTCAGGGTCCAGTGGCTGGTGGACAGCCTTTTGGGGAGACCCATGACAGGAGGGAGGCCATGAGGGTGCCAAGCATGACTCTAAGCAGAGAGCAGCCTGGGGCCCTGCCCTGCCCCCCCTGAGCCGACTCCCGACCATCCTCCTGGGGCTGCAGGGAAGAGGCCTAGAGCTATGTCCAGTCCCTGGCACCTGCTTCCAGTGAGGGAGGAGGAGGCTGGACCCGGCTGGCAGGAGTCACAGCCCAAGCCGGGCGCCTGGGCTCCGCTGCCACCAGCGGCCTCTCACCTCGCTCGCTCCCTCCTCGCCCAGCTCCCGAAGTCCTGAACAACCAGAGGTACGGCCTGAGCCCCGACTACTGGGGTCTGGGCTGCCTCCTCTACGAGATGATCGAGGGCCAGTCGCCGTTCCGGGGCCGCAAGGAGAAGGTGAAGCGGGAGGAGGTGGACCGCCGGGTCCTGGAGACGGAGGAGGTGTACTCCCACAAGTTCTCCGAGGAGGCCAAGTCCATCTGCAAAATGGTGAGCTCCCGGAGCCCGCTGTCCTTGCCCGGGCTGGGCCACTTCCTCCGCAGCCCCAGCCTGACCTCTGCAGCCCCAGCCTGACCTCTGCAGCCCCAGCCTGGCGTCAGAGCCCTGGGAAGGAAGATGCGGCTGGGCCTGCCACCTGTCGTTTGCATGTGGGACACTCGGGGAGGGGCAGCGTGCACACATGCAAACACGCACCGGAACCACCTGTGGCTGGGCTCCTGCCCACCTGCCCGGGCCTCCAAGGAAACAGGTGGCCATGGCCGTGGGGGCCGGGGTGGGGACCGGAGGAGCGAGGCGGCACAAGGCGGTCAGCGGGCACGTGGGCTCCCAGGGATGCTGGAAAACCTGGTGGGCGTGGCGTCAGAGCCCTGGGAAGGAAGATGCGGCTGGGCCTGCCACCTGTCGTTTGCATGTGGGACACTCGGGGAGGGGCAGCGTGCACACATGCAAACACGCACCGGAACCACCTGTGGCTGGGCTCCTGCCCACCTGCCCGGGCCTCCAAGGAAACAGGTGG